ATACTTCGCAAGCTGTGACTTGATTCCGCGGGTAGCTAAGAGGGGTTCGATGATGTCGAACCAAATCTGCGGCTCAGTAAAACCGAATAGCGGTAGACGCAGATCGACTATTGCGTTGATTGATGAGTCTTGTGCCTCATTACTCTCAGTTGCAGCAGGTAGACGTGTAGGTGAGGACGTGATTATTATGCGAATATACAGGTACACAGATATAAATATATAGAACGTGCAGTCAATAATAACAATAAAAATATAGAGTTTTTATGAAGCTAGGATGTTCAAACGGGCTCAGCAATTAATTTGTAGGGGACTGCCTAGAGCAAGTTCATTAACATAACAAATATGCCAATAAAAATCCAAGTCAATGAGAGTACAATTCAACAATATATTATCAAAATGCAGTAATGAGTGATATTAATTAATAGGTTACTTGGATACGTTGTTAAAGTCCACTGCTACAAATTATTTAGATAATCCACTGAAGCGTTGACTGTTGGAATCGTGTCTACTGTTAGAAGCTGTGTTCCAGTTGTAGAGTTGTCTTCGGATAGGGATGATAGGTTCCTGCAATAAATCCAAAGTATACAACACAGTTTGAGTGAAGCGAGTAGACAGAAATGGCCAGAGAGAAGGCGAAGCTGCAAACAATATAGTGTATTTCAAACAGCACTCGAAAGTTATATGTATTTTAACATAAATCGTTTTAAACAAGAGTCATGTACAATGTTTCGAATTTCAACATCTAACCAAAAAGTGTACAGTCATATGGTTACGTACTCCACAGTGTATGTTACATTCGGAGGGATTCTCAGTTGAGACAATATCAGCGTGTCTACTATTCCCTGAACAAACTGTGCTGCAATAGGTGCTGTTGTTTTCTGCTAACGAAATTAATCCTGTTGCATATATTGGTTTCTGGCCTCATTACGTGGGTATCTGGAATCATTCCTCGGCATTAGATAGTCTGTTTCACTATTCAAATTGTAATTTACAGGGCTGAAGTAACCTGTTTTTAGGTTGTTTTGAGGGTAGTCCGTGCTAGGTCTTTCGCAGTTGTACATTTGTGGACTTATTTCGTGCATGTGCACAGAAGGACCGTGAGTCAATCTATACCGGTTATGCCGATGGGGCTTTACGTAACTACTGCGAGGGTTCGAGTATGCATTTCCGTTCATATGGTACCTAGTGGTGTCCCGTCTAGTAGCCCATGTGTTTTTATTATTTATTCTGGATCCCGTTCTCAGGTTATATGAGCCTATTGGCATATTACCACCTCAGCTATTACGGAAATCATGGATCTCACTCTGCTGTTGAATCAACTCGACTCCCCTTGCGTGTCTGCTAGCGTATGATTTTGTGTGGATAGAGCTATTTTTGCTGTTAGCCTTCACCTCGTGTCGTCTGTCGTCCACAGTTTGTCTACTACTCTTAGTTCGACGAAGAGCACTTCCACTCTCGTGTTCCGTCTCCTTTATGCGACCCGCCACAATTCGTGCATAATTCTTTTTTAGGCTTACATGCTGCTTGTTGGGCTTGTGACAAGGGGGGAGACCTTGGTTTTTGGGGACTTCTTTCCGGCTTTCACGATGAGATTATCTTGCTTGGCCCTGGGTGCAGTGTTATCTGCCGATATTTGCAGGTTATCTTTAGCGGGGACATCTATGCCTACTTCATATGTGGGGGCGGTAGATTTCCTAGGAGTTTTCTCGCGAACTTCGAGTCCCATTCCAGTGTTACTGCTCCTTTTGGGTTTCCTTTCACCTTCGCGTGTTGTTTATTCACCTAGTTACAATGCAAGTGCCACTTTGTGCTTCAGTGGCCTTCGATACTTCGGCACTGATGCTACTCATGATTTGTGGTATAATCGTCTTCGTATCTAAGGTATTTTTAGCTACTTGTCGTTGGTTGGCGGTTTTGTCCGAGACTATTTTAACATTTTTGAATTTCGTAGTGGAGGCCAAAGTATCCCCAGATTTCCTAAATTGTTCGGCTATTATGCAGCTGTCAAACCTGAAAAGAATGGGACATGTGCCGTTCGACTCTTTTTATTTAATCTAATACACTGACAGAGTGTACTTAAGAGGTTTGCAGCTCTTAACAAGGAGTGCTGAACCGACTTTATGGGCTCATTGTCAGGTATGTTGTACACTATGGCGTTCTGTTTAGAAGCAAGTCTCTTAACAACTTCGCCCGACAGATAGTCCATAGCGTTCTCTAGCTCCTTAGCATGTTCCAATTCAGCATCGGTTGGTTTAGTCTTCAATTTAAACAGTTTTAGGAAAGTGAGATCCCGCAGTTCCTTTTTAAGATGGAAGATTGTCTCTGGTACCGGGTAAAGTAGATTAGGTTTCGTCCTAAGGTCATTTATTTGTAGCTGCATGTCGTTTATGATGCAGACTAAGTTAAGTATCTCTGCCTTTTCTGACAGGATATATTCCACCTGTATTACTGGAGTAAGCATTATGTTGGCACCATTTGTATTGGCTGAACTACTAATTACAGCTGATTTTAGGGGTGACAATGCGTTACTAGATAAGCTTAAGCTATTTTCTAAATTACTAGTGTTCCCAAGAACACGTTTTTTAGAGTTTTCGCCCATCATTATTGGTGATAATATAGCAGAACTGAAAAATGAATATCAGCGAAAACACGTACAAAAGTGTCACCAAATTCGAACGTGCAACAAGGTTGAATACTTGAGATACGTGAGATTACACAAGGTGAGTACATCTGTGCCAATAACAGAGATTTGCTGTCATACCTATAGTAGTTCTTCTAGCTGACTGTCAACGACTTTATGAACCAATACCAGTTTTTCATCTGACCAACCCAAACTTGTGCTGGCTAACGTTGACTCTCGAGGAGGGCGATGGCTTGGTATGCCAGCACGTGTTCTAGCCATCTCAACCTATTCAGCTTCCCTACCTTGAACACTAACTTATCCTCATAACCTAACACTTTATGCGTAACCTCAACATCACTCAACATATTATACTGCTTTACACATGAGATAAAACACAGACGCCTATAATCAAACACCGCTATTCTTTTCATATTTTCCAGCATCAGGGGTTACTTCTCATAGTCTAGGTGTACAATATCATCAGCAAACTGTAAGTTGATGAGACTATTCTGAATTCAATTATAGACAACTCTACTAATATATGTGTGACTGAATTGAACTGATATAAGGATGACAGTTTAAGAAATCAGCCTTGTTTTACATCCTACTTGGAATTGTGTTCTCTCAGATAATTCGCAAACAGCATTCAGTGAATAGAAAACATTCTGTAGACTTTATGAAACTCATAAACTGATGCACTACTTTTGCAGGCAACATAGTGTTTCCTCAAAAAAAGTGAGAATTGGATATTTCGGCTGCATAGAACAAGTGGTATACTGGCAATACCAGTGACAACAACAAGTCTAGGAATTATGCACTACAACTTTTACTTTACTGAATACTCGAGTATTCTGCTGGATCCGGCAGAATCTAAATAAACACTTGACAATGATCAAACTTATCCAGAAGCCAGTAAGATTTAGTGAACTCAAAGCACATTCGATTTCAATAGGAGTTCTCCATGCCGAATTTATTACTTTAAGGGCCTTCCAAGATTGCAACTTCAATTAAATAACACTGACGTGGAAGAACTTCCATTTTTCATTACTAAACTTAATGAAAATAATGATGTTGAGTAATTCCCGTGGGCTGTTCAATTTTTTGTTCTGAAAACAGGGGCATTTGTAATCTTTTACTTTATGTAAACGCAGTTACACACAGTTGCACTAAGAACTCAGTGCAACTCGCTGCGCAATAGTATATATATGAATAAACTGAAAAATAATGTCCTCCTTACCTTCTAAACAACCTGTCCTTATTCCAGGACAATCACTTTCTTTCCCCTATGACCCTAAGTTATGTCTGTGAAATCGTAATATTATATCAATTATATCTTCCCCAAAACCAAGGCCACTTGAAACCCACAGCAACATAGCAACAAGCATCATAGCGGGGATATGCAGTAAAGCCTCTCGTAGATCTTTATTATTAACGAATCTGGAACTAGTACGTCACTCCTCCAAAGTTAGCCACTAGTACCATATATGCTGATATGTATATATATATATATACTCAGTACTAAGACTTAACACTACGGTCAGTCGGAAGGACTGATATAGAACTTTTCGATTGATGTAATTGTTTACAAACGCTAATTTATATAGATTGTTAATCGTCATCGCGCCCAAATTAACGATTGTCAAGGCCATGTTTGTATCCATGCTGTCACTTAAGAGATATTTACTCTGGATTTTCAAGGTTTTTCAATTTCATAATTTGTTCTAACTAAATTTAGAGGTCTAAAAAGTCTATTGTCGAACAGCTCGAGGATATTGATGATGTAAATAATTGAAATGTAATGCAGTAGATACTTGTAGGAAATCTTAGAACTGGAGAGTGAACGATCAAACAGTATAGATTCAGAAAAGAAATTCGCATACAGGCTTATATTCTACGCTTCAATAATCTTTGGTCTAAGCTTCATCCTTGTTTATTACTACTACTGGCCACAAACATTGGGAGGACAAATCACAGTATCGCTGATATTTGCTCTGTATCCGCTTTGGTATGTTCATTTCCAATCTCCTCATTTACCAGCATATTACTGTTGAAATATTTTGTCCGGATTATATTCTTGAGACGCGTTAACAGGACAAGTTAGTTCGATTAATGCGCTAAATATATTTTTAGATGAAAAATTGAAAAAGCTGCGTGCAACGAAACAAAAATTGGTGCGTTCTAACAAATGTATTTATTTCTTATGACAGTTAGATGATGTGAAGGAGAAAGAGCCATACAACAAGGCGCAACAGATTCTGAAGCGTTTTGATCCATTAACATTTGCTTCCATTGCTGCAGAGGTAGGACGACTTCATGTTATCATTTTTTGCTTGTTCTTGACTAGGAAAGGAAGCTTGCAAAGCCTGGCTTTGGCTCCATGATCAACTTGGAATCTTCTCAGTCAGAAATACGACGAAGAAATACTTGTGACGCTGCTGCAGGTGATAAACTTTCGAATCCTGGATTATCAAGTGCCCAATTTGTTGCTCCTTTTTATCGTGTACTTGATATGCGTCTTATTAAATTAACGTAGCACTTCATAGCGAGCAGTAATTGTGAAGAAAACAAAGTATTTGATAGGTCGGACTTTTAGGCTGAATACTTTACAAACATGATTATATATACATAATGGTTTAGGATAAACGGTTTGAAGTCTATGTTAATCCTTCTCGAGTAAATTTCTGTGCTTGTCCAAGCCTTTCCTGAATAAGCCAATTAAGGTTGCAGCTATCCCTTCTTCTGGGAGTTGGTTACACAGGTTGATGGCGGTGTGAAAAGCATTACTACACAGCAATAGTTTCTTCTTGGCTTTTGAACTCCCCTGCTGTCTTCTAAGGTGTTGTGAAAAAGCATCGGCGATAGGCAACACCAGACAACTATTCAGGCTTATCAGGGAAACAGGTGGTAAAAAACAAATGATAAGCGAAACAATCTCCGAGAAAAATGGCACTATAATTAGCTCCCAGGATAGACGTCTGGAGCGCTGGAAAGAACACTATGAGGAGCAGTTTAATTGGCCCACAGCCACACTTAACCTACCGGACATCCAACACCTCCCTGAATGGGAGATAGACACAGGTCCTCCGTCCTTAACCGAGGTTACTAAAGCTGTCACCAATCTGAAGCTAGGCAAAGCAGCGGGACCTGATTTATTGACTCCAGAGGTATTTAAGTACGGAGGCGACAGTTTACTGTCTGCGTTAACGGAGGTTCTAGGCAGCGTCTGGGAATCAGAGGAAGTCCCATCGGGTTGGTGTAAGTCACTGATCATCCCGATATACAAGAAGGGGGACAAGTCGTCTTGTGATAATCACAGAGGGATTAGCTTGACTAATATAGTATCTAAAATCCTAGGCTCAATAATACTGCGTAGATTAAGTGGTGCTCGGGAGACACAAACACGAGAAAACCAGGCAGGTTTTAGGCCAGGTAGAGGGTGTATTGATCACATCTTCACCCTTCGACAGATTCTAGAACATAGGCATTCCTACCGGCGTCCGACAATCATTATATTTCTTGACCTAAAGGCGGCATTCGATTCCGTCGACCGGGAGGTTCTCTGGCGATGCTTGGCTGTAAAGGGAATGCCAAGAAAATACATTGCACTGATTAAGGCACTCTACTCGTACTCATGCAGCCAGGTGAGGGCTTATGGCGAGTTGTCATCTGAAGTGGTGACGACTAGTGGCGTCCGTCAAGGATGCCCATTATCCCCATTTCTATTCAATTTCATCATAGACGTACTAATGGACTTAACCCTAACTCACTTCAGCGACTCAGGGATTGACTTGCTACCAGGGAATAATCTCGTTGACTTAGAATATGCGGACGATATAGTCCTTCTAGGCGAGGACTCTGACAAAATGCAGAGTCTACTGAACACCCTGAGCAACAACCTCCGCATGTTTGGCATGCGATTCGCCCCTATAAAATGTAAGATGATGCTGCAGGATTGGACTTCATCGACCCCTAGATTAGAAATAGGAAGTGAAGTGGTAGAACACGTTGACCGCTTCACTTACTTGGGAAGTACCATCAGCCCCAACGGGTTGATCTCCGACGAAATTTCAGCACGAATACAGAGGGCTAGGTTCGCATTCGCCAGTTTTCGCCGTCTCTGGCGTAGACGCGATATCCGACTATCGACCAAAGGGCGTGTGTACTGCTCAACAGTCCGCTCCGTCCTCCTTTATAGCTGTGAGACCTGGCCATTGAGAGCAGAAGACATGAAAAGATTAGCTGTCTTCGATCATAGGTGTCTGCGTTCTATCTCCCGCGTGAAGTGGAATGATAAGGTGAGCAATATTGAGGTTAGGCGTCGAGTGCTAGGTAAGGCGGGGAAATCAATCGACGAGACTGTGAAATTGCATCGACTGAGATGGTTAGGACATGTGCTACGTATGCCTAGTCATCGCCTTCCTCGACGGGCAATGTTAGCTGATATAGGGTCAGGCTGGAAAAGAGCTAGCGGCGGTCAAACCAAAACATGGCACCAATCAATGAAATCCACAACAGTTAATCTAAGCCACGTAGGAAGATGTAGACTTCCTGGTTGGGGCCCTCGGGATGGTAAAAACCAATGGTTGGAAACAATTGGCGACATGGCTCAAAATCGTTCTCAGTGGCGCAGATGCATCCACTCCTTGTGACTTATCATTTCCAGTTAAACTGTTTTGTTCTCCGTTATTACTATTCCTTTATCTCACACCTCTGTTTACTGTCTATATTTTGCATTTCTTCTACTTCCTTCTCTTGCTTTGCGTGCTACATGGATTGTGGCGACTTGAACTGCCGCACATATGTGCAAAGTTCTATGTCGAAAACAGACAGACAGACAGACAAGGTGTTGTGACCTAATGGAAAGGAAAAGAGGGAGAGTAGATCAGGTCCCTAGTCAATATAATTAAGATTTGAAATATTGCAGTAAGATCTCTCTGCCTGCGATATGATAGGGAGAACAGATTTAAGCCGTCTAGTCTTTCCTCGTATGATAAATTAGTCACTCCGAGAATCATCCGTGTTGTCTTCCTTTGAAGCCTTTCTAGAATATGTGAGTCCCATTTAAGACTATGGCTGGCCCCCTGTATACAGTTTTCCAGTTTTGACGTCAGTGGGGAGGTATGTGAAGAGCTGAATATATATATGTTTAATATATGAATTGTGTTATTTAGCAAGTTATCGGTTTTTATTGATCATACATCCTTTCAACTTAGTAATCACTTACCACAATGTTCGTGTGTTTGTATGTTGATTTTTGTAAAGAATATAAATAATTATATCTTTACAGCATTTAGCTAATGCGTCTTATCGAAGTTTGTGATTTCATCAGTTACTGCGTTTCCATATTTTTTTCGTCTTTACACTTATTATAGATCTCCGTACAAAAATTGACCTAATGTTTTGGTTTTTTTTACCATGGTGATATCAGTTTTACTGTCCGTCCTCAGACTTATGGCCTTACGTACATTTAATGAAGGCGTATCTAAGTGTGGTTGGTGACTGACCGATTTTTACCGTAGAAATCTGCACAGAGGTAGAGGAAAAAAGGCAGTTTAGGAAAGGAGATCGGTAACGTAGAGAAACATGACGCAATGAATTTCGAAAGGGTGAATGCATCTGCACCACTGATGACGATTTTAATTCATATAACAAAGTCTCAAGTCATTGGTTTTTGGCATCCTAAGGATCTCAAAGTAGCAGTGCACACTACCATAGCATAGTTAACAGTTGTTTGTGAATAAACCACTCAGAGAAGTATACTGCAGCTAGAGAAGTAGATAGTCATCTATCGCCTTATTTTTTTCAACCTGACAACCAATCATCACTTCACATGCTTGTCACACATATGGATTCACACATGTAGTTTCGACTTAGCATTAAGTATACGACTTATTGTAACTTGGCGTTGTTAGTCAATCAACGTTTTACTAATTAACATGTGTAAAACTTGGGCACTGTGGTAGTAAGTGATTCCATATTACTTTTTATTTATTAGATATATCACACAGTGAAACAGTATTATTTATTGGATGACGAGGTTTCAAACACAATTTATATATTGTTCACAATCATATCAATTGTAGTCACACGACTTCGAAAATTGAGTTTTATAGTTGTCTCTATTCTTTCTAATTTGTCATCGTAGGTGTTATAGAATTTTCCAGATGTCTGGAACAGGTGTTGAATCATTCTTATTACACGTGTTGGTAGTTGATTGGATTAATAAACCGTCCGTTATCAATCTCTCCCTTCACCTTGTTACATTAGGTTTTAAGTGTCACCTTATCCCATCATCCTATTGTATGGTTGTGTGTAATAGAATGTAGTACAATAGGTGGACTATATATCAGATTTCTTATCTTATTAGGGTCAGCTAGTCTACATTTTGCTAGGATTTTGTGCTGCTCCACCAGTCTGGCAGACTGAGCCTGTTCTGCTCCACAGGATCCTTTAACTGACAGAGCTTGTTTCTAATTGAGTTTGTGGGTTTGAGCGTTTTACTAATTTTAACTTTAATCATCCGCTTCTTTGTGCTTGAATAGTATAAAGAAAGTAACATGGAGCTGAAAGAGAGCTGTGATTATAACATGTTCTCTACTGAAACCAGTCCGTCAGTCAGTCAGTCAGACCTGTTTGCTGTGGCTATTAGACCTATTTTAACAATATATGTGGGGTATATCGATATAAGGCGTCTGTTTATTGGTCTACCAGATGGAATAGTTCAGAGGGGAATGACAGCTAATTTCAGTTTCGAGAATTGCTTTAATCTTGACTGTATTTACGACACATTCATATATTTTTTAACTATTTGAATAAAGTACCGTATTTGTGGTCAGGCATAAAATGGACCCACACAAAAAACTTGCAGGATCTGGACTTCGCCTGTGATAAATGTCTGATTTCCCATAAACTCGAAGATATGCAAGTGAAAAGCAACAAGGTGGCAGCAGAAGCATCCAGAGAAGATAGGACTTCAGGTGAACATTGACACAACAGAGATAGGTGATGAAGATTCCTGGCCAACAACACCAACAGCAATAACAGTTGAGAAAAATCAGCATAAATGGGAGAAATCTGAAAGAAACAACCTCCTTCACCTACCTGGGAGGCATCGTTTCAACTACGGGCAGAACTGATAAGGATATCAAACCAGTGAGGATCGGGAAAGCAAGGAAAGCTTTCATTACTCTCAACAGCATTCAACATGAAAAATAAGATCCGGATTTTCAACTCCAATGTGAAGTCAGTGCCACTTTACGGATCAAAGACTTGCACTGCGCGTCATGAAGAGCATCTCAAACAAACTACAGACCTTCATTGAGAGTTGTCTTCGCTCAATACTATTCAAGACCAGATGGCCAGTCAGAAAAGATCAGCAACAGGGATCTCTGGGAGCGCACCAACCCAGCAGGAACCGATTGTGCCACAAATAAGCAGGATGAAATGGATGTGGATTGGCCATACTCTGACGAAACAAACCATCATCACGTGAGTGACATCACACGTCAGGCCATCGCTCGAGTGGAACCCAGACGGTAAGCGGCGAGTTGGTCGTCAGTGTGAGGGTGCCATGGAGGAGGCGATATGAATAGGAGATGAAAGCATATGGGCAGACTTGGAACCAGGTGAAAACGTTAGCAGAGAACCGAACGCAATGGAGACGTCCGGCTGAAGCCCTATGTTCCTCTAGCAATTAAAGGACATAATGAAAATAATAAATAAATAAATAAAATAATTTGTGGTCAGTAAGCTTGAACTCTTTTCACAGGCATCTGTATCATTTGATCAGTAGCATCACTTTTCATGGAATAAACAAGTATACAAGTAAAGTTAACATCTTTACTAAAATGGCATTAGTAATGATTACCACCATTAGTTTGCTGAGAGTAAGTGTTTGATTCTAATTTTGTTTTTTCTTTTTGTGTTGTTGTTTTGTAGACCAAAGTGTGCCTACACAACCAAATGGTTCCGTTCAGGCACCAGCACCACGTTTGATAAGACCACTTTTGCCTAGAGAACGTTCATTAGTTGATAAACTTTTGGATCTATTGGTCGGTGATGGTCCTGATAAACGGTTTGCTCTAATCTGTGGCGAATGTGCTGCGCATAATGGAATGGCTTTAGAAGAAGAATTTGAATATTTAGGTTAGTTGAACCTCTGTTATATATTATTTAAACTGGTGTTTTTTTTAAAAAAAATTTTTGTTACATGTTGTGGAAATAGCTTCATACATTGAGTTGATCACGGATTGATATCAGTTAGAGAACCGTTGAAAACCAGCAGTGTAGAGTACTTGACAGCTGTTTCGTCAGCCTAGTTTGGGAATCATCTGGACCCACTTCCAGAGTTCGGACCCAGGATCTTGCGGTTACAAGGCAAGCTGGCTCGTATACAATTCATCCACAAACCAACTATAGCAAATCAATTTGATGCTCGCTAGTGACTGACTGGCTATAGGACGGAGTTTCCTGGAGTTCTAGTGAGAAGTCGTGACCAGTAAGGTCCATCCAGTCAAGTGTGAGGATGGATTTCCCACCGATGGTCATCGAATGGTTGGTGCCAGTTGCGCTAAATGCATCACGAATTGGTAGAAGTTAGAATTCATGGGCTGGCCATTGAATCGGGTGGGTCCCAGTGACTGAATGGTATACGAGCGCCAGCTTGCCCTGTAACTGGAAGGTCGTGGGTTCGAACCCCGTTGTCGTGGGTGCGTACTGCCGATGATTCCCAAACTAGGCTGATGAAACAGCTCGCTGTCCAGTACTCCATGTTGGTTTTCAATAGTTCTCTAACTGACATTAATCCGTGATCAACTCGTAAAAAACAAAACTAATCCTTACAAACTAAACTATAGAAAATTTATGCATTGAATAAAATGTAATTTATCTGGATAGTATGCAGATGTGCCTCCTCATCTGCTTAAGCTAATAGGCCTAGGATTTAAATTTCACTCCATCTATCTCAGTCTGAGTAACTGAGTAGTGTCACATTAATGTCGTATATGATAAATGTGCTTCGTAACCTGGTTGGTACATGAAAAATCTGCCTCAGGTAGCTTAGTTCTGACTAACTTAGCTTGTGGTAATGGTTTAACGTCCGACCAATAGCTGCTACCATGATATGATGTTTGGCGTTGCGTATCGCAATAGCCCAACGAGCTACACTGGCTAGAATTATTGTCCCTGCAGGTCCTACCATGCCAGAGAGGTTGTTAGAGTAGCGATTAGACTAAAAGAAGTTAACGGCGTAGTGTAAGAATTTCTCTTACACTATGCTGGGGGTCTGTGGGCGAAGTGGTACTGCCACTGGGGAACAGGGATGTGAAAGCAGTGAAGTGTTTCCCTCAGATGACCAGCATGCCAGCCAGCTATGCTGTCTCTCCACCCCAGAGGGAGAGAGGGGGTTAGAAAAAGTTGACCCCAACCATTGTACATCCCGACTTACCCCACTTAGGGTGGTCCGTAACCGGTGGTAAGTTTACTGATACGGAATCAAACCAAGAAACCAGTTCATACCGGCCGTGTGTGACTGGTCGGCCTCAAGCAGTTGTCCCCTGGGCTCTACGGTCACGCAACACTAACCCTCTTTCTGTTTCAGGTACCCGAATAATCAACCAACTTCTACAGTGTGGGAAGCTGGGAAGTAACAACCGCCCACACATTTCCAAGAGCACACGAAGAAATCGTACTACTGGCTAATAGAGCAGTGTAACACCAGCAAGATGTTTGTCTCACGCCCAGGAGGAAGCCAGCTATGTTGTTTCTCCTCTTTTGAAGCGAGGGGGGGGGTGCGTAGTTAAAGTGGATCTTAAAAACCGTACATTTTGACTTTGTGGCATTTGGTGGTAGGGGACGGTAAAATCTTTATACGGATACAACTCCAATAACCACCTTATCCTGTTTGTGTATGACTGGCCTGATTTTGTCGTAGTAATGAATAAAGACTAAGGCGTATTTTCGATTTCTGAAACTATGTTCCACTATCCAGTGGAAATAGGAGGTAATCTTGTAGCGAATCTGACTGATAGACCATAAGGTATCATGCAGATGTATTCTCTCCCTTTTCGTTGATAAAGATTTGGTCAGGTAAATAGAGTAAATTCACTGTGTGGCAGAACGATTTACGAGCATAGATCTTTATTCTACCGTTATGTATTCGTAGAATAAGCAGACGACGGAATGTGTTCACAGTGTAAATGATCTATCTAAGTTATTAACTGACCTTTTTTGAGTAGATGGTGTGTCAGTTTGATTTTAAAGATGCCTGATTTTTATTCTATGCTATCAATATTGCTTTCCAGCATTATTTATTACCATATGACATGAATATACCAGTTGGAGTCATTCAGAATAAGTTATCACTTAATACAACACTCCATATTTTTTTTTAATGGCGATAGATGTTTGCGTCTAATGTCTTGCGTTAATTCCCCGATGAATAGATGAATTAAGGTATTACGGGGGTGAATTGTGTTACCGAGGAGTAATCTTGTCGATTTAGAGGATGTAAATGATATAGTCTTTTTAAGTGAAGACACTGGAAAAATTCAGGGTCTTCTGAATATCTTGAAAAGAAATATTTGTATTCGTTTGTTGTACGATTTGTCTCTGGTCTGCACTGACTCCTATCTTTAGGATAGTGGGTGAAGCCGTAGAGCATTTAGGCCCTCTCATATCTCCAACTTTCTATGGCCATGTCTCACAAACATTAAGTATGACGGATCAAACTGTTGCGTGGTACACACACATCCTATGCTCGATAGCCGGATACCGCGTCTGTGTACCATAGGTGTAAGCGTTTTTTATGTGCTGAGATTTTGTTAGCAATCAGTCTACTGATGGGGCTGAAAGTAAGTGAAGTGGTAAACACGCTCTACCACTGGCGTCACCTTACCATTTAACAGGATCGAATCACATGCCAAACATTCGAAGATTTCTACTCAAGTTGTTGAAAAGATCTTGAATTTTGTATGTAATATTTTAAAAAGAAAATAGTTTATTTAGTTCCATATTAGTTTGTTTATTAGGTATATCACACAGTCACAAAAAGAGTATCAGTGTTTACTGGATGACGTTTCCAATACACCTTATTTATTGCTCATAATCATATCAATTATAATCACACAACTACGAAACTTGAGTTTCATAGTTTTCTTTGTCCTCGCCTATTTGTCGCCGTTGGGGTAGTAGAATTTTCCAGATATCCGACTGGACAGATGTTGAATCAATCCTATTTCATGTATTTGCAGTTCATTCGATAAACAAAGATCCGTTATCAATCTCTCCCTACACCATGTGACATTAGATTTTGAAACTGTCATCCTATCCCATCCTGTTGTGTGGTTGTGTGTAACTGCATTTAGTGCTTGCGGTAGCTGAACTGTTCTCTAGATTTCTTATCTTATTCGGCTCGAGTAATCTAGATTTTGCAAGTTTTTTATGTTCGGCTGACTGACTGCGCCTGTTTTACTAGTTTGACTTATGTATTTGTACATGTGTACATATGAGAGAAGCCTTGAAACTTAATAATTACTCCGAAATATGTAGGGAAATGTAAAAATAAAATAAATAATGATAGTAGTGATTGTGATAATAATAATATTAATGACGACATGCAAGTCAAATGTGCGCAAGACAACACCAACAATATTATATTATTATTATTATTGTTCCCTTGGGTTCCTAGTGGAACATAAGGCTTCAACTGCACGCCTCCACTTGCTTCTGTCTTGTGCTGTACTTTTCACTTGCATCCATGTTATTCCATACTGTTTCAGTTCCTCATCACACGATCTTCTCCATGTCACCCTTGGACGTCCCACTCGCCGCTTCCCTTTCGGGTTCCACTCGAGCTATGGCCTGACGCGCGATGTCACCCAACGGCCTCCTCAGTGAGTGTCCAATCCATCTCCACTTTCTCCTGCATATTTGTTGGGCGATTGGTTCCTGTTTCGCTTGTTCCCATAGTTTCTTGTTTGTGATTCTTTCCGGCCATCTAATCTTCAGTATGGAACGAAGACAGTTGTTGATAAAGGTCTGCAAACTGTTGAAAATATTCCTGGTGACCCGCCAAGTTTCTGATCCGTATAGAAGAAGAACTGACTTGACGTTTGTATTGAAAATCCGAATTTTGTTGTTGATGCTGAGTGACGAAGATTTCCAGATTGGTTTTAGGTTGATGAATGTGTTTCTTGCCTTCCCGATTCTCGATTTGACATCTTCGTCCGTTCCTCCTGTAGTTGAGACAATGCTCCCTAAATAAGTGAAAGAAGTAACCTCTTTCAAATCCCTGCCGTTGATGGTGATTGGCGTTGGATGTTGCTGCTGTGGTTGTTGTTGTTGGTTGGTTGGTTATTTTCATAACCTCCGTCTTGTCTATGTTCACCTGGAGTCCTGTCTTTGCTGCTTCTTCGACCAGTTTGTCGGTTTTTGCTTGTAAGTCTTCGATTTTGTGTGACATCAAACATAAATCATCCGCAAAGTCCAGGTCTTCTAGGTTCTTCACGTCGGTCCAGGATATCCCTGTCTTCTCGTTTCCCATTGTCTGATGCATAATCCAGTCCACCACAATTAGGAATATCACTGGTGATAATAAGCACCCTTGTCTGACTCCTGTGTTTACTCCAAACAACGCGCTGGGTTTTCCGTTTTGGATCACTTGACATGTGCCGATGTCGTACAGCTGTTGAATAAGGTTGATGAATATTTGGGGTACGCCGTAGTACTTGAGTAGTTTCCAGATTACTTCGCGGTCAACGCTGTCGAAGGCCTTCTCAAAGTCTATGAAGTTGAGGTAGAGATTTGATTGCCATTCCATGCTTTGTTCGATGATAATGCGTAGAGTTGCAATTTGGTCAGAACATGATTTGCCTTTCCTGAATCCAGCTTGTTCTGGTCGGAGTTCTGTATCCAGTGCGTCCTTTATTCTCTCCAGGATGATGCGACTCAGGATTTTACTTGGCGTCGATAGGAGCATGATTCCTCGCCAGTTCTTGTAGCGTCCTAGGTCACCGTTCTTTGGTAGTTTGACGAGGTAACCTTTCCTCCAGTCAGTAGGCACCTTTCCCTCCTTCCAGACCTTTTGTAATAATGGAGTCAGCATCTCTGCTGTCGTTTCTGGGTCCGCTTTCAGTGCTTCCGGGGGGTATTCCATCTGGTCCAGCTGCTTTTCCAGCTTTCAGAAGCTTGATTGCATTCAAGACTTCAGCTTTCGTTGGAGGATTGGTGTCCGCTTGCAGTTGTGTACGTGCTGTTGTTGGTATTTCTGGACGGGTTGTAGGTGGTGGTCGATTCAAGAGTCCTTTGAAGTGATCCGCCCATTGTTTAATCTGTCTTTCTTCTTTGATAATCGGGTTTCCTTGGCTGTCTTTTATAGGTTTCACTTGTGTTGATCTCTTCCCGGATAGAGACTTGGTTATCTGATATAGTGTCCTCAGGTCCCTTTTGCCTGCTGCCTTCTCAGCTTCAGTGGCCAGATTGTCGTAGAATTGTCTTTTGTCCTTCCTGGCACTCTTCTTCACTTCTTTGTCCAGTGCTGTGTAAGTTGAGCTCAGCTTCTCTTTCTCTTGTCCATCTTTGCATTGAATCATTTTCTCTTTCACCTTTCTCCTCTCCTCTATTAGCTTCCAAGTGTCCGTTGAAAGCCATTCCTTGTCTTGTTTTTTCTTTCTTCTTAAAACCGTTGAACACGTTTCGTTGAAAATTACCTTCAGAGAATTCCAATGGTCTTCCACGGATGATTCCTCAGTGGTGCCACGTAGTGTTTCCCGCTTTGCTCTGACAGTTGCAGTGAAAATGTCTTTTGTGGTTGTGTCCTTCAGTTTTTGCGTGTTGAACTTGCATTGTGGCCTATCCCCAGGTATTCTTGAGGCTTTCAGCTTCACCTTGAAAGTCCCTTGTACTAGATAGTGGTCTGAACCCACATCTGCTCCTCTCCTCGATCTTGTGTCCAGTAGGCTCCGTCTCCACTTCCTTGAGATTGAAATGAAGTCTATCTGGTTTTGGTGTGTCCATCTGGTGAAATCCATATCGCCTTGTGTATATCCTTGTGTTTGAACACACTGCCACCAATCACCAAATCATTGAAGGCGCAGAAGTCTGAGAAGAGTTCACCATTTTCGTTCATCTCACCGAGGGCCTCACGACCCATGGTGAGTTCTCTTCCTGTATTGTCTCTTCCCAGTTTCGCATTCATGTCACCCATCAGGATTTTGATATCGCTCTTTGTGACGTTGTCCATTACTGTTTGTAGTTGACTGTAGAAATCCTCCTTCTTCTCTTTTTCTGAGACGTTTGTAGGCGCGTAGCACTGAATGATTGTAACCTTTTTTCCTTTTGAGTTGAACCTGGCTGTCATTATCCTGGAGGAGATTGGTTCCCACTGCATGAGAGCTTTAGCCGCTGTTGGTGACATCATGATGGCCACTCCGTCGGTGTGCTCATGATCGTCCTCTGGGTGACCGGAATAGATTACTGTCTCTCTAGTTGATAGTTAGAACCTTCCACATCCGTTCCATCTGCTCTCGTATATTCCTAACACTTCTATTTTATATCTCCTCATTTCTGCGGCTACCTGAACAGCCTTTCCAGTTTCGTACATTGTACGAATATTCCACGTCCCCATCCTTATTTTTGCTTTCATCGAAAGAAGGCACATCGGCTGACTGGTTTCCCGAAGGCTTTCACCAGCCTTCGTCATTTCACTTCCCCGATTCCAGCGAAAAATAAGGTTATTGTTTGTATTTTTAGAATTTTTAATATATTTGTGCGTTGAAGTTTTAGTAGCAATTTGGTTAAGTTTTGGGGGTGGAGTTGCTAGCACCACGCCCCAACCCTCCCTCTTTATCCGGGCTTGGGACCGGCTAGAACAACACCAACAATAAGGAATCTAAATCATCAGTATTAATTCCATACAAGGAAGGAACCTTGGAAACCTTACGCAGAATTCTTAACAATGCTGGCAGGAATAAAAGTGGCTAGCATTCAAACACCCCACAAACTCAATTAGAAACAAGCTTTGTTGGTTCCAGGATCAATCCTGTGGCGCCTTTAAAACAAAACAATTCAGTTTATCTAATACCCTGGCTGCAATGATTGTCAGGTCAAATACATAGGTCAAAGTAGTAGAACAAGGTCAGTCAGACTAGCCGAACATAAAAACCTAGCAAAATGTAGATTAGTTGACCCGAATAAGATAAGAAATCTAGAGAACAGTTCAGCTATAGCACTACATGCAGTTACACACAACCATACAATAGGATGACGGGATAAGATGACAGTTTTAAAATCTAATGTAGCAGGGTGAATGGAGGGAGAGATTGATAACAGAAGCTTTGTTTATCGAATCAACTGAGAGAGAGTTCGTGTAATAGGAATGATTTATCACCTGTCCAGTCGGATATCTGCAAAATTCTACTACCCCAACGACGACAAATAGGAGAGAATAAAGAAAACTATAAAACTCAAGTTTCGAAGTAGTGTGATTATAATTGATGAAATGATTATGAACAATAAATTTTGTTCGAAACGTCATCCAGTAAACACTAATACTGTTTCTGTGACTGTGTGGTACATCTTATGAACAAACTTACATGGAATTACTTACTAGCACAGTGTTATAATTCCTCTCTCATACTCCCCTGTTTTTTTAACTTCTCTTCTTCATTTAGCATTTCGGTGTTGCTACTGTAATCATTTTAATCCAGCCCGTCGTTCCCGATTACAGACCTCATTGGCGTCAAGGAGTATTGGCAACTTGGATCCAGTCAATTCACAGTCGACACCTTGCCTACTAAGTGAACCTAGCCCCACAGGTTTACTGGAAACAATGGCAGAAGAGGTGACAAGAATCTCAGGCGACGATGGCAACCTCATGAATGAGCATAATGATGACGGCAACACTAGGATTGCTGATGTCCCCCGGAATGCTATCACAGCTAATGGAGACGATAATGCTGAGGATGATGTTGATAATAAGAGTGACAGTAATAAAGGACATCTAACAAATGGATTCAGCAAAGATGTGGGTTTAGACAATGCTGACAGCAGTAGTAATAGTAATAGTGATGGTGTGGAGGTTAGTCATCCTAATTGTGATAATTAAAACCAGTCTATACCTGTGAAAAAGGAAATTGATTATCTCAGGAAATTTCGTCGCCAAAGTACAAATTTGTGTTGTTGTTGTTTGATGTTCTGTGTTAATTCTTCACTTTTGCCTTTCCTCTTCTAATTTCACAGTCTCTCAGTGTGTATATATCTGTTTTACATATCTATTTATTCTTTATTGTTTCTTTATTAACGAGCACAGTCGTTATAAGGCTGTCTTACTTTCGTTTATTGTCGATGAATAGGCGTGTATTGATGAGGTTCCCCTCGATGTACATATTTATACACACACAAAGTCTGTGCGTTTTTGTCTCTGTTTTTCGTGTACATATGTATCTACTATCAACTGTAAAATAAACTTATCCAGTGTCTTTTGTTTTCGCTCCTTCCCGGTGTAATTCTTGCTTTTTGTTCATTATGAATGTTTGTTAAGATTTTCGGGGTAATATAGGTGGTGGCATATTTGCCATTTGTTGACGCGAAAGTGGCATTTTGTCGATTCAGTTGATCGAGAGGTACTATGGCAGTGTTTGGCTTGCGGGAAAGGAAATGCTGAGGAAATATATTTCGTGTATTGACTAAGGTACGAATCTACGGAGAGTCTTGTCATCTGACAAGTATGATGACAATTAGTGGTGTCTGTCAGGAATGGCCACTGTCTCTAAATGTTGTGCACTGTGTAGGTGGAGTGTAACTCCATTATGCGTAGATTTTGTTTTGATAAAGTCTTACAGTGTTATACAGTAATGTTTACTGATGACGTTTCGAGCACAATTTATCACTGCTCATAATCATATCAAAGTAATCACACACCTTCCTAAATTCATTTATATAGTTCCATTGTTTTTCACTTGATTTGATTGGTAGTAGTATTTTCCATATTTCCGATATGAGTGATGAGTCATTCCTATTGCATGCGTTAGGTGTAGATTCGATGAACAAGGATTCACTAATCAACCTTTCTCTCTCCACCTACCTAGATTACTTTTTAGAATTTTAACCCTCTCCCACCCAGCCTATTGTATGTTGATGCATGCATTGCAATTGCTGAGCATTTTTCTAAATTACTTATCTTCGCTGGTGGGGTCAACCATTCTCACCTTAGCTAATATTCCTATCTTCTCACAGACAATCTGACTACCCCGTTCAACCTACTAGTTTGACCTATGTAGTTGACCCCACAGTCATTGCAGGGTATTTTATGAATTTTATTATTTTGTCTAATTGGGTCAAGCGACAGGGTCATTTGGCCTACAGAGCTTGTTCTACCTGAGTGAGTTTGTAGGTTTAAATGCTACTACCCTAATTCCTACTTTATTAAGGATCCTACGCAGCGAGGGTCTCAGATGTCCCTTCTTTATATGGTATAACTGTAGATGACTTATATTCTCTCTTATTCATGTTATTATTACTAGTTTCACAATTCTTTTTCTTTTCCTTTTGGCCATTTTCAATCTTCCTGATGAATTTAAAAGGGTAGTTATTTAACACCAACGCCTCTTCTATCTGTTTTATTTCATCATTTAGGTCTTTTCTTGTGCTACTTAGTGCCATTGCTCGGTTTGTTAAACACTTAACTAAGCCTGCCTTTACAGATAACGATGGATGGGATGAATTAAAGTCTAAATATCTATTAGAATGCGTTGGTTTTCTATAAACACTAGTGCGTAGTTTGCCTTCTTCTATTCGTTTTATTTTACATAGCTAACATAGCGAATTCTCCTTGTTCATTTTCGGATTCAAATGTGAATTTTATTCCCTCCACTAGTGAGTTTAGTCGTTTCAAGAAGCTAGAGATATGTTCTGTTTCTAACACTGTGAAAGTGTCATCCACATATCTCCACCATATTTTTGGAGTAGGATTAAACGTATTAAGAGCCATATTTTCCCAGCTATCCATAAATATGTCTGCTACGAAAGGGGATATTGGTGATCCCATTGCTACACCTTCAGTTTGTCTATAAATTTTGTCTTGGAATTTAAAGATGGTAGATGTGATGCAGTATAACTGAATTCCTAAAATAATTTCTTCAATGGCTAGTTTTATCTTATAAGTGAGTTCAGGGTCTGCAGTTAATTCCTTTTTAACTGCTTCTAAGGCCACATTGATTGGTATGTTAGTATAAAGACTGGTTATATCAAAACTATCCATTGTTTCATCATTCCCTAGTTCTATGTCATTTAGTTTATTTTTCATCTCATATGAATAACTTAGTCTAGAGTTTGAACGATTTCTAATGGGGCATAATATTAGAGCTAAATGTCTTGATAATTCATAAGTGTGGGTATTTCCGAAATCTCCTATTGGTCGTATAAGGTTACTTGGCTCATGTATTTTAATAGCATTATATATTCTGCTGGCATTATTAGTTTTAGGCATTAAATTAAACCATTTTGACTCACCCAGTGACGCCTTCATTCTGCGTATTGAACCTTACTCATTATTGTATCCATAGGCGTCTTAATTTCCTTATATGGACCCGTCTCTATATGTTCAGTGACTTTCTTCATATAATCAGATTTATCCAAAATTGCTGTAGAGTTCCCTTTCGTGACTACGATTTTTTATCCTGTTTTAGACCAATTAGAGCTAATCTTCCCCATTAGAAATCGTTCAAACTCTAGACTAACTGATTCATATACCAATCAATATGGCCTTAGAAGTAGTTAAAAGAGAACTAACTGCAGATCCTGAACTTACTCATTGGACAACGCTGCCCAGTGAGGAAAGCATTTTAGGAATTCACTTGTACCTCACATCTACCATCTTTAAATTCCAAGACAAAATTTATAGACAAACTGAAGGTGTAGCAATGGGATCACCAATATCCCCTTTCGTAGCAGACATATTTATGGATAGCTGGGAAAATATGGCTCTTAATACGTTTAATCCTACTCCAAAAATATGGTGGAGATATGTGGATGACACTTTCACAGTGTTAGAAACAGAACATATCTCTAGCTTCTTGAAACGACTAAACTCACTAGTGGAGGGAATAAAATTCACATTTGAATCCGAAAATGAACAAGGAGAATTCGCTATGTTAGCTATGTAAAATAAAACGAATAGAAGAAGGCAAACTACGCACTAGTGTTTATAGAAAACCAACGCATTCTAATAGATATTTAGACTTTAATTCATCCCATCCATCGTTATCTGTAAAGGCAGGCTTAGTTAAGTGTTTAACAAACCGAGCAATGGCACTAAGTAGCACAAGAAAAGACCTAAATGATGAAATAAAACAGATAGAAGAGGCGTTGGTGTTAAATAACTACCCTTTTAAATTCATTAGGAAGATTGAAAATGGCCAAAAGGAAAAGAAAAAGAATTGTGAAACTAGTAATAATAACATGAATAAGAGAGAATATAAGTCATCTACAGTTATACCATATAAAGAAGGGACATCTGAGACCCTCGCTGCGTAGGATCCTTAATAAAGTAGGAATTAGGGTAGTAGCATTTAAACCTACAAACTCACTCAGGTAGAACAAGCTCTGTAGGCCAAATGACCCTGTCGCTTGACCCAATTAGACAAAATAATAAAATTCATAAAATACCCTGCAATGACTGTGGGGTCAACTACATAGGTCAAACTAGTAGGTTGAACGGGGTAGTCAGATTGTCTGTGAGAAGATAGGAATATTAGCTAAGGTGAGAATGGTTGACCCCACCAGCGAAGATAAGTAATTTAGAAAAATGCTCAGCAATTGCAATGCATGCATCAACATACAATAGGCTGGGTGGGAGAGGGTTAAAATTCTAAAAAGTAATCTAGGTAGGTGGAGAGAGAAAGGTTGATTAGTGAATCCTTGTTCATCGAGTCTACACGCAGCACATTCAATAGGACTGATTCACCACTCATACCTGAAATATGGGAGATACTGATACCAGTCAAATCAGGTGAAGAATAATGGAACTATATAAATGAATTTAGGAAGGTGTGTGATTACTTTGATATGATTATGAGCAGTGATAAATTGTGCTGGAAACGTCATCAGTAAACATTACCGTATAACACTGTGAGACTTTGTCAAAACAAAATGTACCCATAACGTCTCCAAATCTGTCTAATTTCATGATAAATGTATGTTTGAATGGACTTAACTCTAAATGTTGACTTCAGCGAATCGGGGATTGACTTGTTACCATTAGGGAATAATCTCGTTGACTTAGAATATGCGGATGATATGTAGTACTGCCTGCCTGCTGAGTGAAGATACCTGCAAAATGCATAGCCTTTTGAACATCTTGAGAAGCAATTTTCAAATATTTGGCGTGCTATTTGCTTCTGTTAAGTGTAAAATGATGCTACAGGACTAGACTACATCGTCTCACTCCTAGTCTAAGGAGCGTGTTGACCACCACTGCAATTATTTGGGAAGTTGCGTGTCAGCCAGTCCCAGTGGGTTGATCGTCTACGAAACCAGTACGGATATAGAAGGTTCGTTTTTCACTTATCGTCTCTGGTTTAATAGAGGTGATATCCGGCTGGCTATCGACGAAATGGTGTGTGTACTGCACAGCAGCAGTTCTCTCCACTCTCCTATATATCATAAGTGTCTGCGTTCTATCTCCCATGATAGGTTAGGTGGTATAATAGGGTGAGTAATATTGAGATGAAGCATCAGTCGAGTGGTAGATAAGGAGAGAAAATCAATCGACAAGGTTGTGAAGTTACATCGACTGAGTGTTATACATGGTAGCCTAGCCATCGCCTGCCTTCCTCGAAGGGCAGTGTTAGCCGCTGACATAAGATGGATCAGGTTGGAAAAGATCTAGTACATGGCGGTCAAACTGAAATATGGCTTCATCGGTCAGTCAAATCCAAAACAACAGATTGAGCGAAGAAATATATTCCTTTTCAATAAGTTCCTCATTTTTTGAGCTACACTATTATTATTTTTTAATTTTTGATTATAGCTTGATACGACACCGTATTTTCAGTACAAGTATGGAATTTTCAGCATGGATATCGGTAGCCCAAATTTCAGACCGACCATAGATATCGGGTGTGCGTCGGCAGGGGATCGAACCCCGGACCATGTTCATGCTTGGCGAGAGTCCCAACCACTGTGCCACCGACGCAAACAGTTTTTCACATCAATATATTTTAGCAATCAAGTGGTTATTTTAGTTAATCAGTTTTAGGTACAGGCAGGAGTAAAAATTTGAAGTCATAATGTCTAAACGAACAGACGGAACAATATGTAGTCGTTTGTATAAAAAACTTACTTCCACTGGACAATATACTCACTTCCTGAGTTTCGTACCTCTACAATACCGGCGTAATCTGGTTAGATGTCTGGTTCACTCAGCTAGAGTTATCTGTTCAAATGAGACACTGAACGAAGAACTCGGTAATAGTCGCGATCTACTAAGTAGAAACGGATATTCAACTGAATTCGTAAATAAACACATGAACTCAGAAAGTAAAAAGTCGAAGTTATCGACGGTCCCCAAAAAGTCAATCTTCCTAA